AAAAAGCTAAGTTTAGTTGTTCTTTAAATTGTACACAAAAATGTCTGTTAAAGCTGATACACTTTTAAAAACCTTTGATGATAAGAAATAAGAAGAGCAAAAGTTAAACAACAAAGAAAACTGAGATTAACCAGTTGTTTTTGTAACCGCATTGCACAACAAAGCTGTTAATCTTTAAGAAAGTGAAAAAATTCTATTTTATAAATTATTTTTATTTTAACGTATATAAGTTAGATGGTAATGAAAGTAAAAACAATCTGTTGGAAAGAATAATTAGAAACTGTAAAAAAGTTTCTAAAAATTTATATTCCGTACACTTATATAAGATAACCTCGTGACAACAGTAAATTAAGCATAAAAGCATGCTTTCGTTCTTCTTTTCTGCTTTTGTTTTCCTCATCTTTCTCAAAAGAATTTTCAAATCCTCAAAAAGTGTTATTACTGGAATTTTGTTTTATTCTGCTGCTTGTTTTGCTTCTTGCATTTAGATGAAACAGCGACTGCAAAGAATGTAATTAGATAGATGTTTAGTTTTGAAGTCAAAAGCAAAAATTTTTCAGAAATTAAAACGTTTCTATAATATTATTTAAATACGTAAAAAATTTGTATAAAATGGTCAAAGATGAAGCAAACTGATTAGTTGAATAATGATAGAGGTTTATTTGCTTAAAGGATCATTGAGGATCGCCGTTACTGTTGCCACTATCGCAGCTGCAGTTGCCGCTGTCGTCGAAGATTTTGGTGCTTCTGATAAGCTGGTAACAGCATATCTGAGACTGCAACGCACCTCAGTAGCATCATAATTAATAGCACCATAACTGGCTAAATTCGCAAAGTTTTCGTCATTTAATGCACTCCTCGTTTAAATTAAATTTTTAAATTTCTTAAACACAAAATAAGTGCATATCATCTTATCCGTTATAGCTGTTTGATTTAAGTTGAGAAAGCAAAAGAAAACTTCCAATTTTCTTTAAAAGTGTTAAAAAGATTGACCAGTGCTAGAGTAAGTCCTGGTAGAGCCGACGAACAAAAAATTATATATATATATATATATATATATATATATATATTATAATAAAAAAATTATAACAGGCAAATTAAGCAAATGTTTTTATGTAACTTCCATAGAAAAAAAAATGAACAATGATTATTTCAAAGACTATATACTTTGAATTTACCATATTTTCTAGCAAAAAATCTTTTTTCTGCCACCAAAAATTGTAAAATTCAGTAGCATCAACAACACCAGTAACAAACCAGCAACGGTAAAATAAAACAACAGTAGTTTTGAAAACTTAGAAAAAAAGCAACAACAAAAAATTTGATTTGAGCAAAAAACGAAACTGTTTTTGCGCTCCTTTCCCTCCTTGCTATCAAGCTCAAAAATAGACCCCTTCTTTTCAATGCTTAATGAAATTTTTCGCTTTCTGCCAGTAAAATCATCAAAATATCCGATTGATTATCAGTTTCCAATATGAAGTTATGAAAAACTCCCTAAACTTCTCCTTCCCTACTTAAATTTATAAATCGACAGTAATTATAACACAGCAAAAAGCGTTGCTGCTATCATTGTTTTATAAACGGCAAATAAAAACAGCTTAAGCCACGACTACAGCAAAAATAGCAGTAGCACCAGCACCAGCAGAGCAGCGGCAACAGCAATACCAAAAACAACTACAACAGCTATCGATACAACACTGAAAACTGCAGCAACAGAAGCATTTACATTTAGTCACAGAAATGGTAAGGAGACTATAGAAAAACGCGAACGAGCAATTGGGGTCAATTTCTCCTTTTTGGTTTGTTTTCTGTTAATATAATTTGATTTATTACAATGTTTTATTCTGGCTCTTTCCTCGTATTTTCCAGATTAAGTTTTGATGCAACAGCTAAAAGAAAAAAAAGAACAAAAACAATTAAATAATAATCGAAAACGATAATTCAAAAAAGCCAGAATAAGAAGTGCTCGTTCAGCGACTAGAACAAAAAAAAATTTGGTGATGCTGTGCAAATAATTATCGTTCCGACTACTACAACTATCAAAACAATCACTTGCTACTGAAACTAGAAAACTGGTTTGAGTGGGCCGGTAAAAATATGCAGAATGCTCAAAGCAAAAACTTAAAATTTTTGCTTCTTCTACGAGACAAAGTACAATAACTATAACCTTTTTGGTTTTTCAGTCAAGGATGCCAGAAAAATATATTTTAACATTCTATAATCGCTAAAAGTGACTTGAAATGCAAAAAAAGTTAGTAACTAATGAGAAAAAAAATGAAAAAATCAAACGTACAGGTAATCCGCAGATCGAGATCTACTTTTCTGCAACCCTTCAAAGTCCACCGGTGTGGAACTTCTGGTTGGCCGCGTGCTTCGGCTTCTGTACTTCTCCGGATGCACATGTAGAAGATTTTCAAGTTTCCTAAAACAGTGAACAACCTTTGATACATCACTGATCATTTGCGACGTTACATCGATGTTAGATCTGTCTGTTTTTAATAACTTCCTTGGAATTTAGGCAATCTTTGCTTTATAATGCTTCTTTTCCTGATGATTAATCTATAAGTGTACCAAAAACAAAAAGAAAAATATAAGAAAAAAAGAAAGAGAAGACGACTAAGAGATGGAGAGAAACTAAATAGGTAAAAGCATTTAGATTTGAAAACAATTTGGTAAAAAACTTGTAAATTTTTTTCATTTTTTATTGTCCAGACACAAGTTAGAGAGATACCAAGAGAAGCTGGTCATTTCCGTTGATTCAGCGTTCCGATAACGCTCTTTTCTGATTGTAGAGGTGAAGAAAATAAAGCAAAAAAGAAGGAAAAATTGAGAGAATCTTTAATGTACTGCCGGATAAGAATATTTATACAATACAGTGATTTGAGGTGTTGCCAAAAGAAACTCCTTTTCCTCCTCATCCAAAATACTTCTTTCCTCCTTAATTCACTACAACTGTTGAGTCGCTACTCCAAATCGTTGTCAGTGAAAGGAATAAAAGGCGCAAAGAGCAGATAAAAAAAGGGAAGGATGCACAGGATGAGGTAAGCAAATAACTTTTAGTGCAGTAGTTTTCAGAGGACCAGAAAGTAAATTTATTTATTTATTTTGGCATCATCATCAAGAGTAACAGCAGCAACGACAACGTCAACAGCAGCAACAACAACAAAAACACCAAAGGCAGCAGTAGCCAGTCAGATTTGATCCGTATAAATATAAAAATATTCCTTTTAGAAAAGCACCTAAAGTCAGAACATCCACGCCTTTTCAATTCTTTTCCATCTTTTTTCCCTCTGTTTTCCAAAAACATAAATTTTAAGGCTTCAAACTTCTATCTTTAATTATTAAAAATGGCTAAACCTTGCATGCAGAACAGACAAACGTACATTTATACTCAAGAATAGATTTACAGAAAGACACAGATACGAACTGATAAACAGATAAACAGACACACAGACACATATAAAAATGAAGAGATAAAGATGAATTTTAAGGAAAATGTGTTGTTGAAAACAATTAAAATATCACCTAACAGTTAGACTAAAATTGGCTTGCAATTACAAAACTCTCACCTGTAATCTGTATATTTCCGTTTTCGATACAAAAACTCCATTTTATCAGTTCAGCAAAAAGAATTATTTAACGAAATAAAACCACGTTTTTTCTACTTATATTTCTACCACTTTTTTCAAACAGATACCAACGGTTTACGTACCAAAAAGTACGAAACGCTCAAGTCGTTCATTAATAACTTATTACTTTGCCAAAATTCTTACTTTTCTTAGACTACAGAAACTTGCAAAAAACTAGCGAGAAAGCCAGTTTACTGCTTTATTGCTTCTTTTTGAAACTTCAATAATTTTGATGCTGCTGTTGCTGGTGTTTATAAAAAAATAACTTCAAGCTTTTAAAGTCGAATTTAGATGATCACAAAAATAATATCATTATTTTTATCATCTTGTTTATCTTCGCTGAAAGCAGCAAAAACAGCAACCACTGTAGCCTCTTACTTAAACCACATGAAACAAACAAAACAAACGAATAGTCAAAGTACTAATTTGCCAGTAGTTAAACGAATTACGCTAAAAGTCTTAAATAAGCAGAGTGACCTTGCAAAGGTCAACCATTTATACTTTGCTTCCAGTTTTTACCATATAATTAGGTTCTTAAAAAAATTTTCCTTTCATTTCCGCAAAAGCATACAGACACACAAAGACAAACACGTCTTTGAGCAAAATGAAAACTCATTTATAAGGTATATAAACACTGGAAATGAATATATAACAAAGAAGAAGTATCGGTAAAATAAAGTAAAAACTCACTTGAATTTCCAATAATTAATTTTGACGAGCAAATAATGAATTAAAAAGAAGGCTCGAGAAGGAGGAAAAATCAAATTTTAATTTGAACCCTTTCCTTGCAGTTTAAATCCTGTGAGTGTCTCAAAAACTAAACATCTCACAAACGAAAAACCGAAATAAAGAATGACTCAAGAACGATAAGAGAACGACATCAAGGCTGATTTGTAGAAACACTAAACAGTGAAAATCACTGTTTCTTTAAGCCAGTTTAGTCTGACTAAAGAACCAATACTTCAGCCAAGAAGACAGTATCTGTGTGCCAGGAGTCGGAAGAGCATAAGAAAAACAAACAACAACACTGCGCAGATACGCAATTAAGAATTCACTTAAGAAAACGAACAGCATCATGCATTTGTCATTGATCTCTCAAACTCCGTTTGTTGCCAATATTTCCACACGTGACGTTGCAAGCAGTTCACTAGAAAAAAACCAGACGAGGAATGAAGTCTAAATGAAATCTGAGCAGCTTTGTCTGTGTTAACTAAATATGTCTTGGAAGAGAGAGCAACGCGAAAACAATTTTTCGCCATCATACTTTTTCCTTAAATCCCCAATTTACTATCACATTCTTTCATCCTCCAGAAAAGTGGTTAAGATTGAAGGAAACAAGATACAGGATTTTGCAGTACCAGCAAGGTTAACGTCAGTAACAGCGATAATATTATCAAATTTAGAAAAAGCTTGAGAGAACGTTACCAACTTTTCTTCGTATTCGTTCGCAAAAGACTTTACATCAAATGTGTTGCTAATTTCTTAGTTAAATTTTTTTCAAGTTTACAAACAAAAAAGACGTTTCTATTCTCTTTTTTAGCACATACAATGACAGTAACAGACTAAGGTGCAATAGAAAAAGTAAGAATCTTTAAAAGAATTCAACTTTCTGCTTGACAAATAGAGGTAATAAATATACAAGAAAGAATGTAGAAGAAAAAAG